TAGATTAATATTATTCATATAACTCAGAGATCACACTATTCTCATATTTCTATTTTTGAATAGATATGCAGTGTATATTATAAATAAAATAAGTGAGATTGAAGATTCTTATAGTACTTCTATTTTTATCTCAGTCTTGTCTTATTTCATTCTATCAAAGAAAAGTTATATGATTCTTTTAGATATAAAACAGTTAATTCATTTTATTAGAGAAAGTAACAGTTTTAACATCTTCAAAGTCTGAATTAACTTTAACATTGAAACATGATTAAATACTTCTTTTATATCAATAAAAACTGCAGTTAAGATCAGATCTTCATACTTTGCTATTTAAATATTATAAATAACTGAGAGAACAGTGTCAATTACAGAACATTATTTTCTATCTCTCATTTATTCACTGAATAAAAGACAATTACTAATAGAGCTTATAAAAGATAGTTGAGTAGCTATTATTTTTTCTAAAACCTTTTCTGAACAGTTCAATAGAGATATTATTCTATATAACTTAGAAATTGAAGTTTTTCTATTAGATTTTATAAGAATCACTTCAGTGACTTCTCTTTAGTATTCAGAATGATATTCATTTTTCAAGAGATTGAAAAAGAGCTCAAAATATTCATTCTTTAAGTAGAAGTATGTATTTTAAATAATCAAGTGATTAATTGAATCAGGCCCTACAGCAGTTTTAACTGAACTTGAGAAGATAGCTAACTTTAATTCATCTTATATAAGCTCAGATCATTCTCAGTCATTTTTATCAATATAGTTATGAAGTAATATATTCTCTTTCTCTGAATCTTAATCTGATGAGTTTTGAATGAGAATTCTTATAAAAGCTTAATACTTTTTCTTAAAAGAATTTACTGTATATGATTTATTCTGAAACTCATATTCTAGAGCTGGAAGTTTTGCTACACTTCTTGTTTTAGTATAGTTAAAAGCTTTAAAAACTTTCTTTTCTTATACTTCTTTAAGAAATTTATTTCAGCAGTCTGTTTTAACTCTTTTAATATCTGAAAAATATTCATTTCTAACAGCTTTGAACTCTTTATCAGATATTATATCATTCTTTCAATCTCTTCTAGCAGTAGCTAATTGTTTTCTTTTAGATATGATATTCTCATTTTATCAAGATTTGAAATACTCAGAAGACTTTCTCTTTAAAATATTATCTCTAACACTTGTTAGAATAATAGATGTAATGAGCTTCACTCTATTCTTAAGCATTTTATCTGAGATATCTTGATCAGGATTTCAATATAGCTCACTCTACTTTTCAGATTTTAACAGTTTTATACTTTCTATAACTGCTTTTCAATCAGCTTTTTCAAAGTTAAACTCATTAAAGAGAAGAGAGTTTTCACTTATTTATTTTTCACTCAGTTCAATATTAAATTGAATAATCTTATAATCTGATTCTGATGTCTCATTTGAATTAATAAATCAGTTTACAAGTTCTATTTTCATTAGATTTTATGATATGAAGATTAAATCTATAATAGATTTCTATTTCATGTCTTTTCTAAAGAATGTTTATTGATTAGACTTGTTAACTAGATCTATTGAATATCTAAAGATTTATTTAATTGAATTATCTACTCTTACTGCTTCTTTGCATTCTGAATTCTATCAGAGATAATATGCATTGAAATCTTCTGCAATTATAGAGTTTCTTAATAAAGTTATATTCAGAAATTCTCTATTAAGTGTTCAGATATTGTTATTTTTCTTCAATAACTTTTCATTATAGATATTTATAAGCTGTATAGAATCAAACTGATTCTCTTTATCTATAATATCACTCATCAGAATATCAGGGTCAGATATGATATTAAATCTTAAATTAAATTAATATCTTGATCTCTTTCTTTCATAGATTACTACTCTTGACTTTATCTCAGACTTTTGAGATAGAAAGTAGAAGTAGCTTGAATCAGAAATGATATATTTTTACTCAGTATTAAAGTTTGATTTCTGAAGCAGTATAAAATCAACTTTTTATTCAAATGTAATTTGAAGACAAGAATAGATACAATTTGAGTTTCTATTCACATTATTTTAAATAAATGTGATTTTTGAAGAGTTTTTAAACTTTTTTTATTATTTTTATTATATATTCATACTAAAAGAGAGTAGAGATCAAGTAGAATTTAATCACTATTATCAGATAGTAGATTATAACTATTTTGAAAAGTAGAAATCTCAACTGCTTGCATTATATCTAGTTTATTATCAGAGTCATTTCTCAATTCTCTAATCTTAACAGAAGTTTGAGAATTCAAATTTTATTCACATTTAACTGAAGAGTTGAAGTTTGAAGATCTAGATAGTTGAGAGTTTCTTCTTTTTAAGCTTACAGTTGTAGATTTACTAGGTTGACTTTTCTCTTCAGTTTTAGATTCACTTTAAGCTTCATATTTTCTTCAGTTCTTCTGAGTTCTTGATGTAAATACACATTCTTTTAAGCTAGATACATGTTTTTCTTTGCAATTGAAGCACTTAAGCAGAGTATATTAACATATTTCATCTCTTTTTAAGCATGTTTCATATTTATGCTCACTAGTTTTGTAATCTCTAGCACAGAATGTGCATTTTAAGTCTCTGAAATAAGAGATTACAAAGTATTCATATCTTTGACACTTTAAACACTGTGTTTGAGCTTTGAGATTCATTCTTGAGTCTTTGTATTCATGAACTCTCATTTTCAAATCTGCTACTCTTACTTCAGAGATTCTTGATTGTTTAAGTGTCTTTATATATACTAGAATAGAGGCATTTCTTCTGCTCTGTCTGAACTCAATTGAATTAAGTCATATAGACTCTTTTCTCAGTTGAATAGAATTGTATTCTTCTAATTCATTTTTGAGAAGTAGTATTTCTTTCTCACAGTCAAAGATTTCAACTGAAATATTATGAAGAATGAATTTGTCTTACTTTTTATCTCTCTCAGATAGAATTGTTATGTTTAACAGAGATTCTACTACTAATTTTCAGAGATTCTCATTCTGAATAAGAAATTCTGCACTGAATTCAGACATTGTAGTCAGAATGATAAAGTTTTCAAAGAAGAATGACTCAATTGAAGCTATAACTAATTTTTGAACTTCAATATCAGTTATTAACTGAGAAAAGAACTGCTGATTAATTTCATTTCTAATTCTGAAAATAAGATTTAAGTTTAGCTTGTTTCTCTGTAAGATGTTCTGATTTGAGTCTTTGAGAATAAGTCTTCTATTTCTGAAGATTTGAAGATTTTTCTCTTTTTGCATTTTTTTTTTTCACTTTTCTATTAATAGAAGTATGAGCAGTATTCTTCTCAGTTTTCTCAGAATTTTGAGCAGGTTTTGAGCTAGCAGATTTAGAGACAGCAGGTTTAGAGATAGCAGGTTCAGCTGCTTAAGCATATGTTTTCTTCTAATTTAAAGAAGAAGAAGAAGAAGTAGAAACATAAGAAGAGTAAACTGAAGAGTCAGTGATTGTATTAGAAATTTTCAATGTTTTTAGAACTGTGTTTGAAATTCCAAGTTTGAACTTAATCACTTCTTGTAGTTGTCTAGTCTGAGTATGAAGAATTAACAGAACTTCTTCATTTATCTCACTCAGGCACTGACACACTGCTTTTCAAGAATCTTACGTACTTTTTCAAGTTTCTGTATTTCATGAACTTGTTATTTCTCTATTTCTTCTTTCTTTCTTCTCTTCAGAATTTCAATCTCAGAAATAGTATTTGAGAAAGCATCTTTCTTCACATCAACTGAGTGTATTTTTGAAGAGACTATAATATTCATTCTTACTACTTCTCAGAACTTTCACTTCTTTTTTCTTTCACTCTATTCTTATTTCTCTATCTGAAAGTATATTCACTTATTACTTCTCAGAGCTTCTGTCTCTTTCTAAGACTTCTGTCTATTTCTTTCTAAGACTTCTGCTTCTTTCATTCTGAGATTTTTATCTCTTTCATTCTGAGACTTCTACTTCTTTCTTTTTAAGACTTTTACTTCTTTCTTCTGTAAAGTCAACCACAATAAACAAATAAGCATGTATATATATATATATATAGAGGCGCCGGCCCATCTTCATCTTAGAAGAATGAGACAAGATTTATCTATTTACATGTATAATACATAATTAGTATACACTACAGATAATATATACTGCAGGCCTACACTGAATAGATTAATATATATATATAGATTCTATATAACAAAGTGAAAAACATTAGAGAAGAAAAAGAATGAGAAAGTATGAGAATCAGTGATTAAAGTGAATATTTAAATGTATACATAGTGAAGCTTTAAAGCAGAAGAATAGAAATTCTATAAGTTTATCAGTCAAGAATCAATAACTGAGAATTAGAGCTTTCAGCAGAAATGAAAGCTATAAAATATAATAAAATAGTCTATATAAATAATTAAGCACTGCTTATCACAGAGCTGTCAGGTCACGTGATCTGGCTTACTAATCCTTCCACCATATAACTTCCCACAAAGCTAGCAACCTTTCAATCACATGAGCTTTACACCTTTCACAGGTTATGAGACCCGTTTTGCACAAAAATCACTGCCAATTCAGGATTCCTTGTCAATATAATCTATTTGAACTACTGCTTCATTTGATACACTCATCAGGAGTTAAAATTGTCTTATTCTATCAGTATTGATGCGTTTGAGATCTTGATGATCAATAATACTACTACTCACTTAAAAAAGAGACTTGTAGAAAATGCATCACATTTGCAAAAAAGCAAGAAAAAGAGAATGATATTGACTAGGATTCAATAAATGAATATCAAGATGACAGATTCAATATGATCTCGCTCACATACATGTTCGCGATCTCGCATTCTTTTCACTGAATCAGTTGCAGTTGATGATGATGATGATTCTTCACACTCACACTCTGTCAGTGAACATTCTCCTGAAGTCTTTGAAAGCTTCATTGAAGAACACCCTGCAACACCCTCTCAATTTGAAGCTGGTTTGAATACAGCTTCTGACATGGTCAGGCCGGCCCCTCAATCTACTCAACAGCTTGATGCTGATTCTCTTGATAAGAATAATAAACACTCAGATATCTACTATTCAGGCGAGGCAATATCAGACCAACAGATAAAGCATCTCAAGATAATACTTGAGATGAACAAGGGGAAGCAAAGAGTTCTAGAACTTGAACTACAACTGAAAAAACTCTGTCAACAGAGATTCTCTACAGATTAATCACAGAATATCAACAATCATTCTGTCACTACATTCACAGCCTGTACAGCCACATGAAATCCTAATCTCGATGAAAGGTTGAAATTCAATCTTTATGAACTGAATAGCTGTGTTGGCAAGACAATCTCTCAATTCAAGGAAGATGTCAAGAATACTGTGAGATCAAACAGTCTAACTGACACATTCAATTACATCACATGAAGCATCTTCATGAAATTGAAACTGGTTGATGCACAGTGTTAATATATGATAGAGAAATGACAGACTCAGAACCCTCTACAAAGAGATGATGAATAAGCATCATTCTGAGATGCCAGAAACCGGTGGCTCTACACATTCATCTCGAACTCCTTGAGTGCAGGTGTCAGACCATGTTTCTCCAAATATGATGAAAATCAGATTGCTTATACTCTATGAAATGTGATTAAATAGGAATACTCTGTCCTCAAAACACAGTTACACTGTGAGACAGTTCTGGAATTCATGTCTCTTGATGACACACAGGTCACTAATCTACACACATTCTTTGATAAGTTCTGGTCCGCCATTACAAAATTAAAGATGTTGAATGCTTCCTTCTCAGATGCATGGATATTTGATATCTTCTACTCAGTTCTACTCAACAATTGAAGGAATTATGTTCAGAAGAAGATAGAGGAGATACAGGATTTCAAATCCACAGCTGTGGTATTGAATATTGATCTTCTCATGAAGGAAATTCATTCGCAGCTTAATTCTTCAAAAGATAAAAAGAATCTGCAGAATATAGATTCTGCAGTCAACACAGCTACAACAGCTATAACAGTCACAATGACTATCAATAACAATACATTGAATTCGGCCTGTGAAGGCTGTACTGAATGTGGTCATGGTAGTACTCTAGAGAGCTTCTGAAATCATCAGAGATTGGGAAATCCATCTATCTGTTCTGAATGTGAGAGATCTCACTTTGACATCTGTTGATTGATCAATTCAGACAGTGCTTCAGATAATTGAAGAATAAACAATGCTGTGAGAATAAAGGAATTCAAGAAATTCAAGAAAAAGAAGAAAAAGAACAATAGTGAGAATAGAACTTAACTATTCATTACAGATAAATCAGACACCTATCAGATGACAAACCTTGCAGAGATTATCAATGTGTCAGCCTGTTTTGTGAAATCTCACAAGAATCTCCTCACTATATGAGATAGTGATGCTGAATGCCACATAGCGAGTGATAGATCACGATTTTCAGAACTTATAGTAATCAATAATTCAACAGTTCAAGTGGTCAATAAGGCCATTATGAAGGTTCAGAGTGTCAGCACTGCATTCATCTCAGTGAGTGAAAGATTGATAGAATTCAATCATGTATACTACATGTCAGAACTATCCGCAAATCTGATCTCTGCTGAGCTTATGAAATATCAGAGCTATATTTACTGTGATATGCAAGTTGATGCTGAGAACTACTTTGAGTTTCTGTCATCTATTAACAGTGATATCTTCTACATCAATCTGTCTCATAATAATATTTACATTCTATTCAACAGCTCACCGATATTTCATGAGGTTATGAATGACTCAATGTATGAAGCAGTGGCATATGTAGCTGTTTCAAAACCAAAGGCAATCTCAACAGATTATGATTCAAATGCAGGGTCTTTGAGGCCTTTCAGCCGTGAGGAGGTTGAACAGTTAATCAATCCCAAGAATTCAGATACTGATTTCTTTATTATCTCATCTTCATCTCAATTATCTGCAGTCCTTCTGAAACAGCTTTCAATAGATGAGTGGCATCATTGACTTGATCATATCAGTGAAAATAGTATATTAAAAATGACCAGAGACCTGTGATTTGATATTGTTATTATCAGTCTGAAGAAATTATCATTCTGTATCACATGTATTAAGTCTAAACAGAAATGCACTTTCTATAAGGATTTCACATCACATCATGCCACCTGCAAGGCCTTGAAGGTTTGGGTGAATATATTCAGTGATGATGAGACTCTTGAAACTGAGAATGATATATCATCTTACATCAGCAAGAAGCTTGCAATGATGATAACAGATGATATCACCTGTATAAGGTGAATATTTCTATTGAAATGCAAGAATGAGATGTTGAGATATCTATGAATCTTCAATCAATTTATCAAGAATCTGCTGAGATGTGGCATTGCAATCATTCACTCAGATTGTGAAGAATTGAATTCAAATGCAGTCACAGTATATATACTCAGTGAAGATATAAAATGAAAGCTGACTTCTTCTCATACTTCACAGCAAGATGAAGTATCTGAATGATCAATTGATTTAATCATTGAGAAGTTTCAATCACTATTAATAGACTCTTCAGCTCTGGAAAAGATGTGAGATGAGGCAGTTATTGCAGTCACAGAGCTGCTTAACCTTATGTCAACCTCAATGATATTGTATGAGAGCCCTGAAAATACAAAGCTGATTACACTGTATGAGGCCTGACTTGAAGCTCTACTCTCTGCATGCGGCATTCACTGATGAGGTTGCAAAGCATTCTTGAAGATAGTTCTCAAGCTCATCAATAAGATGACTTCCCGTTTCAAAGAGTTGATTTTTGTGAAATATGATGATTTTATCAATTATAGATTGATGGACCTCTTCAACAGGCATTTATACATATCAAAAGATGTTGTCTTCCGCGAGGATCTTCATCTTGCTGATTCATTGATACTGACTACAACACACAACCTGAAGGTTCTACTCAATGCAGTCTGTAAAGCGGCTGCGGCGATTCCTTCAGCAACACCAGGCCTATTCACTGTGACCTGTCAAGAGACTGCAGCAATTCCTGATCTATACATTGATAAGAAAATCCAACCTGAGTGTTCATTATTTCTCATACTCACTAATAATTGATGGATTGACTATGAAATCTCCATGAGAATATCTACCTTTTTAGTGCAGAATACACTGAACTTCTCAGAATTCACAGTTGAATCTGATGATCCTCTGACATCTACAAGAGATATCACTATAGTGAGGGAATCAACAGTGAGGAAATCTTCAGTGAGAAACAGTCTTGAAGACCTATTCATTGATTCTGAGATTGCTGCACTTTCAATCCTGAAAAACCTCACACATGTCAAAGCTTTCATGAAATGAAAGTATTATTATAAGGCCTGTGTTAAAGAGATCAACTGTTTGAAACAGATAGAGACCTGACAACTGATTGAGAGAACATCACAAATGAGTGTCCTCCACAGTCAATGAGTATTTGACAAAAAGTTCAATAATATGAGTGATGTTATCTGCTATAAGACCCACTGAATTGTCTGTAGAAATCTTCAACAGAAGAGAGTCAATTACTCAAGAATCTTTACATCTGTTGTCTCTGTATTCATCTCATGAGCTCTCATGATAATCTCAGCATCCTGAGAATGATATGTTCTGCAGATTGGTATGATGACTGCATTTTTAAATGCTCAACTGCCTGCTGATGAACAGATATATATGAATCAACTCACAGAATTTCATGAAGACTATGATAATCTTGTATGTGAGTTGATACAGAGACTCTACAGTCTTAAGCAGGCAGCACTCTTATGATATGAGAAGCTGTGAAAGATGCTATTACACTCAGACTTCTGTGTCAGTCTCTATAATACTGAACTATTTATTCATGATGAAAGACAGGTCTATATAATTATCTATGTGAATGATGTCTGTCTCTACAGTCTGAAAATCAAAGATCTGAACTGGGTCAAAGCTGAAATTGCTGCTAATTATGAGATCAAGAATATAGAGGATTTCAACTGCTATCTAGAAATGAAGATTGATAGAGATTCAACTTCATTAACATTGTCTCAATTCCTCTTTATAAGGAATCTTCTGAAGAAGTTCTCAATGAATGACTGTCATTCTACATTCACTTCTATGAAGAAGAATGTCAATTTCATGAATGATGATGAGAAACTGATTGCATCCACAGCAGAATTTATTCTACAGTTCTATCAATCTGGTATTGAATCTCTGCAATATCTTGCATTCAATACATGTTCTGATATGAGCTTCATTGCAGGATTCCTTGAATAATTCAGCTCCTGATCTACATCAAAGAACTGAGCTGCATACAAGTGTACACTCTGATATCTACAGAGTTCAATCAATGAGGGTATAACCTATCACAGAGGTGCTGAAATTGAACCTGTAGCATACACAGATGCCGATTGAGCCGGTAGGGATCCAGAATCCTGTTCAACCACCGGTTATATCATCTACATGGCAGGTGGCCCTGTTGCATGGCGGAGCTGCTGGTAAACAGAGGTCTCTAAGTCATCAACAGAGGCTGAATATATTGCATTCTCTGAGGCTGCATATGAGCTTGTCTGTCTCTGAGAGCTTCTAGAAGATGCTGACTTCATCCCATCTCACCTCAACAATCTGAATGCCGATGATCATTCTATTCCCATCACAGTCAATTGTCTGGCTTATACAATTCATGCTGATAATAAGTCTGTCATAGAGCTATCCTCTTTCAAAGCAATTTCACACCGCTTGAAGCATATAGAGGTCTGTTTTCACATTCTTCAGAATCTTGTCTGCAAGAATGAGATATCTATCTGATATGTTCCATCTGCTGAGAACACAGTGAATGAGCTTACTAAATCACTTGAAATGTTGAAATATATGCATTGAAAGGAGATTATGAAGATGAAGGAATAGAGGAATAAAAAATAATATATATCATGACTGGTTTTTCATTACTTCACATTTTCCAGTCATTTTTAGTACTTGTACTTGATTTGAAGGTGAATTTTGTATATAGTATTGTGTATAGTTACTCTGATGAGTGAGGGTGTCAGGTCATGTAATCTGGCTTACTAATTCTTTCATTATATAACTTCTCACAAAGCTAGCAATCTTTCAATCACACGAGCTTTACACCTTTCACAAGAGCTTGATAAAGAGAGAGTGTAGAAATCTTGTATAAAATAATAATATTTAATAATTATAATAACAGAGATAATAATTAAAGAATGAAAATATTAGTAAATAAGTAGTATAAAATAGTAAAAGCTTCTCTGAGAGTAGACTGACTGTGTGACCGTGTCTGAGATCAGAACCAGATTTTTTGATAGTCTCATTATCAATTTGACTGATCCCATTACACAGTTTTAACATTAGATAGTAGTCTCATACTGTCTCAGTGAGACTTACTGTCTACTCTTGTCACATTTTTCAAATAAGATCATGATTTTCACTTCTTAATTTAAATTATTTTTATTGCTTTAAATGACTTTAAATCTCATTTGAGTGTTATCAAAAAGCATTACTTTTTAAAAAATTAAAAATAGTCTAAAAAAAACCTTAAAATGTCTAAAAATAGTAACTTTATGTCAAGAATGAGACTAAATGAAATCAAATGAGATCACTTTCTCATTTTTTTCAAGTCATGATTTCATTTTAAGATCTGATATATAGTCACTTTACATGTTTTTTTGATAGCCAGTCCCAGCGGGATTCACGCCAAGAAATGTATGAGACCAGATTAAATAAAATCAAATGTGAAATTCATAGTTCTGACGGCCAGTCTATCTGAGAGTAACTTATATTATAGTTATATAAGTGTGACTGAAACTGATAAGAGAGAATATAATTTGAAAGAATACATAATTACTGAATAATAATACAGTTACTTCTGAATATATTTATAAATGTAAAAAGATTATAGCAGTCATTAATTAATTTAGTATAATATATATAAGAAGTTAGTAGACTGACTGTATAACTGTATCTGAGATCAGAACTAGATTTTTTAATAGTCTCATTATCAATTCTACTAATCTCATTACACAGTTTTAATATTAGATAGTAGTTTTATACTGTTTCAGTGAGACTTACTGTCTACTCTTATTACATTTTTTAAATAAGATTATGATTTTCACTTCTTAATTTAAATTATTTTTATTGCTTTAAATAACTTTAAATCTTATTTAAGTATTATCAAAAAGTGTTACTTTTTAAAAAATTAAAAATAGTCTAAAAAAAACCTTAAAATGTCTAAAAATAGTAACTTTATACTAAGAATGAGACTAAATGAAATTAAATGAAATTACTTTCTTATTTTTTTCAAGTTATGATTTCATTTTAAGATCTGATATATAGTCACTTTACATGTTTTTTTAATAACTAGTTTCAGTGAGATTTACATCAAGAAATGTATGAGATCAGACTAAATAAGATTAAATATGAAATTCATAATCTCAGTAGTTAGTCTAGAAGTTAGTATATATCTGTAATTATACACTAACTTAAGCAATTTTTGAGTTATATATATATTAATAATTTTTTACTGATTTAAACATTTTTAAATTATAAAACAGCAGAAAATAATATTTAAAGTTTAAACTTGAAATTATCATTTTTTTTCTGCTGTATACAGGTATAGTGCAGATATAAAGTGTGAAAATGATAAAAACTCTGTAGGCTAGATGAAAGCGCACTGACAACCGCGGTCACGTATTGAAAGGTAGGTCCTGTGGTCTAGTGGTATGATTCTCGCTTTGGGCTCTTCAAACCTGAGTTCGCTTGCGAGAGGCCCCGCGTTCGAATCGCGGCAGGACCCATTCATTTATTCCTTTTTGTTTCGCCTCTGTTTCGCCTCTGTTTCGCCTCTGTTTCGCCTCTTTCCCGCCTCTTTCCCGCCTCATCTACTCGCTCCACCATCAACCCACACCAATATTTTTACACATTTGCCTGTCCACCTCACTGATGAGTGGTTCGGGCTAGGCGACTTCCATCAATTCCAGGTCTTGTGGTCTAGTGGTATGATTCTCGCTTAGGGTGCACCCTAATGGCAATGTTTGCGAGAGGCCCCGCGTTCGAGTCGCGGCAAGACCCTAACGATATGATTTCTTTTTGCTGACGAGATGATATTTTTGTTGGTGGAGGATAGCTCGGGTGCTGAGGTCAATATTGATTGAGATATATTTTGCTCGGGTGCCTTAAAGCTGATAGAATTGGGTTCAGTCCCACTGAAATGTGAACGGGATGATACGGATTAAATGCAAGTTTTCAGAAGTCTTGGGACGCTGGTTCGTCTGGTTGCGTTGAAACGCCCTGCTGGAGGGTGGGTGCATTTGTTTCCGGATGCCAATGATTGTTATTGTATCCAATTTCTCTTCGAATGGGACCATTAATGTCATAGGCAATGTGTCCATCCCTCCGACCTTACTTCCCTCACACTTTCACCTGTCCTTCTTCGGTACCGACCCCTCCTCCCCCCTCGCATTCAGTACTGCTCTTGTCTTCTCATCCCTCTCCCGCACACTCAACCTGACAGACGGTCCATAAACCTCCTCCGTCTCACGAAACACTCGTTCCTCCCAGCCCTCCCCCTTCCCAAAGCCCACTCCTTCCTGATCCTCCCAACAAGCCTGCGCTGTGACCCCAATCTTCTCAAAGAAGGCCCTCAACCGCCCTTCTCCACCGCCCCATATGATACGACTTAAACGGCACTGCAACCGTCCACCGCGGACCCATCGAGTTCTCAACAATGGCATCCAGCTCGTCCACCCCAACCACACCAGATGCGCAGCCTCCCGCAGCAGCGCATACGCAAGCTGTTCGCCACAAACCCTATCGTCTCCCGCACGCGTGCGCTCGATCAAGGCGTGCGGCGTAGCTAGTGACGGGACAAGTTCTAGCAGCGGCATGATGTGCGGGGGATTATAGGGGGTGAACGACGATAAGGCGGGATTTATCGCGCATGTGGAGTTACTGGGTGGAGGCAGGGATGCCGGAGGTACTGGACCAGAAGAGGGCGTGCGCGGGGGCATAAGTTTCGATCTGCGGCCAGAGGGATTGTTTGAACGCGGGGGTTTCGCGGCCTCGTTCTTGGACTATGTCCACGGTCGAGACGGCGGTCGGCAGGTCTGGGCTGATGGTGAGGCGGTGGGAGGAGAGGAGGTCCGGGAGCGTGTGGGTTGCGGAGAGCGTGGCTAGGTAACCTGTTTTGGGGTGTTACATACAGTTATAATTGTATTTTGATAGGTGTCTAGAGAGCGGGGCGGACCCGGTAGAGTCACCTCAATATTCGCCTTCAGATCTGGCCTGGTATCGTACATGGCCACTTCGACATTGGGGGACTATGTAAGATATAATGCAGCAAAGGAGAGAGCCCAATTTTCCCTGGCCCGATGAGGACGATGTGCATTGGCATCAGAAGCTTGTCGGCAGAATGATTGTACGGATCAAGTTTGTTCATCTACACTTAATTAAAGAAGTGGCCAGCGCAGAATTTGGCTGATAAGATAAATTCAGAAACACAACGACCTAAAAACTGGAAAATATAATAATAGAATATGTAAGTTATAGTAAATAAATATCCAGTTCAAGTTCCCCAAATCTGTTTAGTTACACGCCAAAGGAATGCCGAGGGGTTACGTTGTTCGGGCAGTTTTCACCAAGCGAACCCGCCTCCGAATCTACGTTTCTGATTTTCTTCTTATTTACCACAGCGGGATGCCGTGCATTTCTGCCGGCTGATTTCGACGGGTTTTAGCTTGGTCGGCGGATTAGTAGTATACTGTGTTCTATGTCGCCAATAATGGGAGAAGTTTATTCCTGTTATTGGTTCAGACGTGAAGGTCATGTTAAGTAGGAATAGATGACAATCATATAGTTAACTACTCTGTTATGCGTGATGTTAGAGCCTAAGGTATCTAATTAATTGGCTTTCGTCGCCGCTAGATATGCTACCGCGATGTTGTTTCGAGCAGGGTTCACGATCCCTATTCTCAGTTGAAAGATTAAAATTGCACCGAATTAATTACTACATAGGGATGCTCTGCACTGGACAACGCCTCTCCGGCACCTGAAAAATAAAAAAAGAGAACACGTTTCAATTGAGAACTTCAATGAGACTCCATTAAGGAATGTATACAACCATGCAGGCTTTGGTGCGTGTTGGACAAGAGTAATATCTCGATCTATAATACGGTAAAATAGTTATAAGAAACGATGCAGGTAATTAGGTGTGTGTATACATTGCCCTGAAGAAAAAGAAAAAAGGAAAAATTAAAAAAGGCAAGAAGAAGTGTTGGTGGAAGAATGGGTATGTACACTGACGCAGAAGCAAACTAGCAAACCATCTATCTCTTTATTATCAATAACCAAGAAATAAAACAGAAAAAAAACAAAAAAAGGGAAAGAGCAAAAGCAACGTGGTCATAAAATCATCCGGCGTCGTTAAACCTGCTGGTGGGGTGGGGAAAGAGTTTGCAGGAGCAAGTGGAAAAGGCAAGGGTACAGTTAAAAAAAAATCAAAAGGAGGAATATCTAATATGCAATGTGTTGTGGCAGGGAGAAGTTCCCGTTCGGACCGAGAGTGGTCGTTCTCGCTCTCTCGATCTCTATGCTCTGTCCAATATATTAATGCAAAATGTGAGATAATAAAAGTACCTGGAGTATGAAAAGAGTACAGAAGGAAAAGAACAAAGGCAAGCAAATAAGGCGCTTAGATTATAGTGTTCTTGGTCGATGTTGGAATAATATAGGATGGTTTAAAAGAGCGTTAAGTTGGAGGTGGCGTAGTTGGAGAATGGTGAGTTGCAGAGGGGGCTTAGGGAACCACACATTTATCTAGTCCCAGGCGCAGTAGAGATCAACGACCTGGCCTCCTTGGGATCTAGGCCAAGAATGCGAACGAGATAGTCGATGCTGCAATCATTGTTAGTACCCTTGTTTCTCATATTCTGCCGGGCAGATCTACTCCACTCAGGGAAGAGACAAGTACGCACCTAGCATCCGTCGCCAACCTCCGCTTCACCTGTAAAAACTCCTCCTGACACTCCTCCCACACAGCCGTCCGCTTATCTGTGGAGATAGTCTTGATGCGCATCTTAAACAGCCCGCTAACTGGGCGATGATCCGACACCTTAACCTCATGACGGCGGTACTCGAGCTGCTTGACCCTCCCAACACCCCGATAGAGGAGGCGATCGCACCATGCGGGAGACCGTTTCTTCTCGCTAGAATCATACTGGTCTGAGCCGACGTCGTATTTATAGGTCGGTGAGAATGTGATGGGCGCCTCATTGAATGAACGGAGGCGGAAACTGGGGTTTTTGCGGCGGGAGGCGAGGAGTTGGTCGCGGTCGAGGAGTTTGGGGAGGTTGCGAGCCTTGACGGCTTCGATGACGGTATTGCGGGGCATCGAGTCGATGCGGTAGTTCAGATCACCGTTTAGAATACAGATTTCGTGATCCAGGATCATGGTGCCGTCACCGCCACCGACGAAGAGATCAATGCGGGACGAGTAGCTTGATTCGGAGGGAAGGGAACTGCTTTCGAGAATTGCGGCAATGTCGTTGTTGCGGTTGGCGGTCTGGGATTGGCCAGCTGCCAGATGGCAATTTATGAAGCAGAGAGAGCTGTCGTCGAGGATGAAGCGGAGGACGAGAGCACCCTAATGGTCCGATTGAATTTAGCTTGGCGTTTGGCAAGAGAAGGGGAACATACAGTATAGGGACTAGACGAACCTTGTTGCCATGCAGCCCACCCATGCCGCGCTTGACTTCTGCTGCACTTATACCTCTGATTCTTTGGCGTTCTTCTTGTTTAATGAACACGCATGTGAATAGGCCGATGAGGTTTGAAGTGTGGAGGAGGACATAAGGCTGATCAAGTGGCATTATATCATGAATGCAGGAAGCAAGATAATCTTTCCAGACGCGATACTGTCGGCTCATATGTTCTTTGTCTGCGCTATCTTTCTTCTTGCTGCCCATGAGGAGACTCTCTGTGGTAGGTTGTTAGGTGAAAAAGAGTCGTACTTAAGATTTGTTGCTAGGGTATGCTGTAACTCACTGGCAGTGATCTTTTTGTTTTCCAGGTCCACAAGCTCTTGAAATCCAAAAACCAAGATATCAGGTGGGTTTTCAGGGTGGACCACCTCTTTGATGAATGTGCTATCTCGTAAATTTCCCGGGACCGTTGCGCCTGCGTTCCACGTAAGAACGGACGCGGTAATTTCACGGAACTGGCAATATTCGACGTCCCTGTCATGCATGCGGTCCTCTAAAGAGTAAAGTAAGCACGTCGCTCCTAGCATATTAGACAAAATGGATAGAAAAAAAAAGGGTACGAACCAAGCCAGTCATCCTCAAGCATAGCATCCCAAATGCGAATATAATTATCCACCCCAAGAGAAACAACTTGTAGCCTATTCACAGTCCAAACACTACTAGAATCCAGCAACAGCCCGCAGACAGCATGATCGTGCGCCTGCCAGTCCTTCTTCACCGTCCAGGGTGTGGTAGAAGTGTCGTAGACATAGATCATGCCCGTTTTATAAGCCGCCCAAAGATAATCACCAACCATCGCTAGGCAGTGTATTTTATACAAGCTCACGTTCAGTGTTGCTCGACACGAGTAATCCTGGGAGGAGTAAATGGAAACTTTCCCATCTGCATGGCCGAGGTATACGAGGCCGCCGTCTTTGGGACTGGTGGTACCGGACGTGATTTCGCCTGCATCTGATTTTCCTAGGGGCCCCTTGAGGACGTGAAAATCTGCATCTTTCGAATTGGGCCGATAAACCCACACTTCCTTACCGGATGCGAGCCACAACATCCCTCCAACAACTATCGAGAAAGTATGACCCCTTGCAACCCGATCGTATGGATGGCTATAGCTATATTGTAGATTAGGCGCACCGGATTCATCCGGAGGCCAGACCAGTAGTTTGCCATCATCATCAAGTGTCCAAAGTTCCTTTTTATGCCGATAGATCTTGATAATTTCTCTTCGGGAAGGTGACGTCCTCGACGAAACAATTGACTGCGTTTGAATATCAACCTCATGGATCTCTCCTGAATTCGTGCCAAGCCAAAGTAGTTTCCCCTCATCGTTCATTGTATTTCCTGGTTTAAATGCAATACATAAACCTTTAACAGTTTCCCCGTGGTTCAATCCTAGAATTTGCTCTCCGCTTACTAAGTCCCAGACGCGAGTAAAGTAACCCGTCGTGCACGCATAATTCCCGCAAACGTCAAAGACTCGAGTGTCATGCTTGGTGTGAATACCTCTTGTTCCGCTTTTGAAAATCGGTGGGCGACGGTTGGTGTTAGAAAAGTCAGGATAGTCTGTGCGAGGAATTGGCGCATCGTCGAATGGATACTCCGATTCATCTGACTCCACGAGGGTAGATCTACTGATCTGGCGTTGGTTGGAGGCTGGGGACGACGAAAGGGATTCTACTGAGCGCATTGGTGACCGTGCAAATTGTGTCGGGGCATGCTGTGGCTGGACCTTGCTGCAACTAGGTATTCGGCCAGCAACGACAGCATTATCTCTTTGGGGTGGTGGAGGGTAATATGTACCAGTTTCTGCGTTTCCAACACGGAAGGAAGAGTTGGATGTGATAATTGGTCTGGAAGGCACATCAAACGAGCGTCTAGACGATAAGTGGGTGGTAGTTGATTGTACTCCAGTCCGTGGGGGAGCGCCCCGGCGCGATATTCGCGGTTGAGTGCGGGGTGGCAGACCTGGTCGATCCTCTGGATTATCACTGGTATATTGCCTGTCTTGGGCTTCCTTCGCGTTCCTTCGTTTTGCAGCGTCAGTGTCACTCCGTTTCATTGGAACGGGCGGAGGGGACTGTTTGATTTCGCGACTTAATACTGTCGTTGCGTTTCTCGCGCCGGATAGACCAGGGTGCTTGGCCTCAAAAGTCGCGGATCGGCGGGGATGTCGAAACGGAGCAGGTTCGGGGAAAGTGGCACGAGATCCGCGCTCAACAGCGGAGTAAGGTTCGGGAACGCGAACCGAGGCATGTCCGTTTGTTGCTACGATATTAGGGTATTTTTTTTCAGGACTACTCGGAGGGGTACTGAAAGGTGACACTGCAACATTGACTGTGACCTTTTCCGATGTTGGCGCAAGAGACTTCGGGGTCTCCAAACGAGAAATAGGGATGGGACTTTTGGTAGTGGCAGGGATTTTAGGCTTTTCCGCTCTGTTGACTGGTGGTGGCAGAGACGCGGCTTTGGGGAACTTCTTTGAATCACGAACTCTGTTATCCGCCCGACGGGGACTACCACCAGTCGTTACTACACTTGAAGAATCGACTAAAGGGGTAGTCGGTCTACTCATCGGACGACTCTGGCTGCTGGGCGGTCTTCGGGGCGGCGGAGGTTCGGGAACGGTCTGGGCTTCCCCGAGGCGATTCTCGGTGGCAGGGATGACATGTCTCTTGGGACTAGACCGTGGGGAATCTATAGTGAGGACTGGCGCTTTCCACTGCGCTGAAGACACATTCATGGACACTGGCCTAGCCGATATCCGCCTTCCTGGAGTCCCATCTGTGTTCCGAGTAGTAGCACCTCCATGGTTATGCCTCGAAGTGTGAAGCCACCCGGACGACGAGGGGGGGTGAGCATGGGAGTGTGCATTGGAAGAAGACGACGACCAATTTGAATGGTCTGGGCGCGGTAGGTCCAAGGATGCACGACCAGCGACGACGGTTGGAGTTTCTAGGAAGTTGGAGCGGGACTCACGACTTGGTAAGGCGGTGTGATCCGACTTGGGTTCAAGGTGAGCGAGGTTTTCGAAGTGAGAGAGGAGGGAAGAAACGGGTTTCTATCAAAGTATAGCAGGGCATGGTAGTCAGCATTAGGGTAGATCAGAAAGTGGCGATCAAATGTTCAATCATACAATAGAGCCCTCGTCGGTGCCATTCCCATCATGGCCTTCATTATTCTTAGCCTCCATCACGGAGAGCGTAGCAACCGTTAGTTGCGAATGAAAAGGCTACACCGTATACCGGAAACCATCTGTAGGTTGAGTGGTTGGTAGAGGATAAGGGGTATAGGCAAGAGCGCAGGAACGGAGTTATGTCTTTGAGTGACGTCGTAGGCAATGCTAATCGCATAAGTTCAAGATCTTTACTCCGTCGAGCGAAATCCAAAAAGGCGGCTAACAACTAACTAGACTCGAGCCAACGGAGCTAGGAATGACGCGGCCTGTAGAAAGGCTAAACCTGAGGTGGGGGAATCAAGAGGCTATTTTCTCGCAATAGAATCGTTGCGTATCCTCGTGATGCTGAAGAGGAGTGGGAGGGAGTGTCTGCTGGAGGTGGGTGGAAGTGGAAGTGGAAGTGGAAGAAGTGCTGGAGGCGAAGTTGGTCTTTGGGATGCGGCTCTTTGTCTGTCCCCGTGATCTGGGCTTTGACGGCAAAGAAACAAGAGCAAAACTAGACTTTGATAGTAAAGGAAAAATACCAGAGCGAATAAGCGAGGGAAGAGAAAAGGAAGAGAAGGGATTATTAGATACACGTATAGCAGTAATTAGAATTATTGCTCTGGTATTCTGGTAAACTAAGCCATTGTCCCAAGCACCGTCATGCACGGGTCCACGATGTTGTACAGTAGTTATGTAGTTACATGATTTACCTAGGTAACTAGTTAGAGATCGTGGCGGGTGCTTAATATATTGTGGAGCGGCTTCTCGCTTTCTCTGGGAAACTGACATTCATTCCTACCACGCTTTACATCTCCAGTGCGCCATATTATTCTTTCATGCAGAAACAGTTCCTCTACAGACAACAAGAAACTGCCCTGAGACATACACCCCGTTGTTGTTGGAATTGTTGCATTTCTTCGATCGCCATGTGGTATGTGTGTGCCATTCCCCTCGTTCTACCTCATCCACTCTCCACCAAATCCATATATTTATAAACCTATAATTATAATACTCGTGTCTCTGTTTTAATTACGACCCAATACTTATCCAGACCCATTCGCCCAGCAAGCACATCCTGAATGCCCAGGTCTCTATCCGCTCGCCATGCTGTGAGTTACAGACCGTCCGGTCCCCACCCCGCGCGAGAGCCTCACTCCCTCCCCTCCCGACAGGAATATCCCAAATTTTCTAATTACCCTGCTATTTGTCCCATTTAGGCCGACGATGGTTCGACTGCGCGGAATGCCACCAAGAACAGGAGAATCATGAGCTGCTACAGTCGTTTGATATGGTTGTTAATCCCCGAGCTCCCCTCCGCTCCCCCCTTCTCCCCGCATGAAGTACAGGTACAATAGCAGTTGGAGGACTAATCTTTCTCTTAACACCTCTATTTGGGTTATATTTGGATGGTTTAGACATTCGCCTGCAAGAAGTGCAAAAAGTGTTTCCGGAAGGACGCGCGAGAATTCGAGGAGAGGTATGTTCTATGGCAACTTCTACACCCACACCATTCAGATTTTTTTTGTATATTTATCGGATGAAATAAAAATCAACTTTATTCCTATTTATTGATTGGCATAAGTGACGAATACTGCCCACACTGCGATAACCACTTCGTCCTTGAGGCCCTCACGCCCAAACCAGCCTTGAAGATCGAGGGAGAGGATGCCCGGGTTGATTCTAGGTAGGTGTTTCATCTATCTTCCAATTTACATATCTTGGTTTTCTGGTATAAATATGTAGTGTACATTATATATGGCTAACGGCTGGAATTTTCCCAATTAATTAGAATGCTGAAGGATGAACGAGTGCGGCAAGAGGAGGAGCGGACAATCTTCAATGTTAAGGATGCGCCTAATCGGCTTGGATAAGATGGGATATTGGATGGTGGATTAGACTGATGTGATGTTGTGTAGCACGTGGGCGTGCCGTAGAGGTTTCATGACGATATGACCATACATTATTTCCCTAATTTCTTATTGCCTTTTTTTTTCTTTCTTTTCTTTTCCCTTTTCTTCTATTTCTATTTTGTAAATGCAATTATACCAGACGAGATTGAAATTAGGGATTTTTAGACGGTTATTGGGTAGGCATAAAAACATAGAAATCCTAGGTGACGCAAAATCCATGGCTGATAAAGAAAAAAAAGGACACAATTCATCCATTACGGCCAATAAATAGCTAAATAAAAGACATTAAACACCCAGCTCAGCTTTCCGATGCCTCTCCTGCGCCCCGGGTTAATATAGCAGCAGTCCCTGTCCCCGGAGTTCGACCGGTTTTCTTCTTAGCAGCCTCCTCCTGCTTCTCAGCCTCTATGCTCTTGACATAAGCCTCAATCTGATCACTAGGCAGCAGTTCCATAGCCTTCCCGGGCGCCATGATGGCAATTTCGATATTTTTAGCCCCCGTCTGCACGACCTCCAACAGCGACTTGATTGTCAGCTGAATCGTCGCTTCCCTGTCCATATCATCCTTGTGATGCCTTTCTAGGAATTCCCGCACAGTCTTGCTCGAGCGGCCGATTGCGTTTGCTTTCCTGTAGTTTTCACAGTTATAGGTTAGCCAACTATATGTGTAGCACCTCAAATTCCTGGATTTTATATCCGTAAACATACCACGCCGAATAAATCCCTGATGGCTCCGTCTGGTATAGACGCGGAACATTATCGCCATGGTCAAAGCCCACAATCAACGTACTAATGCCAAAAGGCCGCACACCACCGCTCTGAGTATACCGCTGCTGCACCCCAGCAACGTACTTGGTAATATATTCGATGGTAACGGGGTCTTCGACGGTAAGGCGGTGGGACTGGGCTTCTAGTCTGGCCTTGTCAACTAGGATTCTGGCATCGGCATTGAGGCCTGCAAAAGCGAGGCAGACGTGGTTGTCCAGCATGCAGAGCTTAGAGGGTGTGATGCGGGTATCCTGTAGTTTCATTGCGGAGCGTTTTTCGCAACCTAGGACAACGATATCTTTGCCTTTTACGCCGACTGCACAGGTTCCTGTGTAATTTGCGTGAGTGCCTCAGTATGGGTACATATATATGCATGGAGAAATCGACCTGGCATCGATATGGTGATATAAGGCATACCTCTCTTAACAGCTTCGAGAGCATATTCTACCTGGAAAACGTGGCCATCGGGACTTTGTAAAGATGTCAGAATAGGTTCAGTAGCGTGGGCATATCTTCCCAGATGCGAACATACCTAAAAACTGATGGAGCGTTAGACGATTATCCACAGGTATAGCTTCCGGATCAAGTAATAACATAGCTATCGGACAGGCAACTTACCTGAAAGCGCTCTGTCGTATCCGGAAGCCATATTTGAGAACGAGCGTCACGGTAACTGGATAAAATGATATATCAGGGAGCGTTTGACTTCAAGAAGGGACAGCAATGTATAGAGACAAACGACCGGGGGTGATTTGGTGTTGGAGGAAAGCTGGAGAGATATCCAAGAGCCCAGAGGGATTGGTTACATACCAATTTAGGTGGGCCCGCGAGTCGCGGCTGCCTCCCGCTTCGGACAGACGCCAAGCGCGCGTCTAGTCGGTTTTGTGTCAATTTAAGAAATTTTATCCACATTGCCTTGAAGCTACAACGGCAGATGTTGTGTTGGAGGAAGATGATCCAGAGCTTGTACGTCGTGTGATTGCTCATTTACGGTGTGGAGGATCCCTCCAAGATCCGATATTCTCCGGACGGAACGTCCTGAAGGGGATACTGATACTTCTACTGTCTACGCGGCGGATTATTATTATTATTATTCTTCAATTATAGATGTATGCAGTCAGAGACTATGACATCTACCTGAGAACCTTTAGATCTCAGGGTTTTTCCTATATCTATAGAGTCAACTATTATACACTTATCAATTTCAGATATATAAAATCAGAAAATTTCAGCTCAGAATATAAAAACTGTTTATAAATTATAATATTTTAACATCTTCTAATACTTTGAAATCATTTAAAAATATCATGACAAAGAAAAAGAGAATATAGTCTTAAAGATAAATATATTAAATAGATAGATAGAAAAGAACAGAAAGAAATAAGTACAGTAAAGAGAGACTATAACAAAATAAAATTATTAAAAGATAGTATATAGCTATTTTAACAGACTATATCTAATCAATTTTCATCTCTTCATATTCAGATACTTCTGAATTCAGTTATTTTCTTATAACTACTTGAGTTTCTAATAGAAAGTCTATTAAGTATTTAATTTCTATCTCAGTTGAGAATAAGAATCTTATATTTAATTAATTTAAATTATACTTCTTTTTTAATCTGACTCTGAGACTATTATATAATATATAATATATTATAATATACTCAGAATTTTTATTTACATTGTAGAATAAGTACTCTGTTAAATCAAATCTATTATTAAATCTTTATATATAGAATTTAAAATAATTATATTCTAGTTTTAGCTGAATTATAGATGAGAATATTTTCTTTTTATATTTAATTAAATAAGATTTTCACTTTGATTTTATCTCAAATCTTGAATAATATATACTCTTCTTTTATTTCTGTCAGCTTTTATTTCACTTATTTAAATAAGATTCTTTTATCTTTCTCTTTATAAAAGATTAGAACACTGTTTTTTAAATAGATTTACTTAATTCTGAACTCTTTTTTACAGCTGAATCAGCTAATTCATTATTATAAATATTTATATAAGTAGAAACTTAATATAGATGAATTATCAGTTTTAATATTCTTCTCTTTTGAATTTTCAAAACAGAGTTTTAAATCAGTTTAAGATTCATTTAATTATTATAAATCTGACTATTTCTAAGTCTTTTTAAAGCAGCTTAACTATCAGAGAATATTTATATCTCTTTTAAACTATTTTCTCTTTTATAAGATTTTATTTCAATGAGTTTGAAAGCTTTTATTATTATAAATAGTTCAGTATCAAAGACTTCAGATTCACAGTCTAAATTTCAGAAATCTAAGATAAAATTAATATTATCTTCAGTATAAGCAATGTCTGTGTCTAATCTATTTAAATTCTCATTTTTTAAGTTATCTGAGTAAATCAGAATAGTGTCTTTTATATTGATTATAGAAATCTTCTTCAAATACTGTTTATATTCTCTCTCTTTAGATAGTTCACTTATTTATAAGTCTATGAGAGATTTTAGCTTTTCTTATCAGAGAGATATCTTCTTATGATCAATTTTCTCAATATTTAATAAAGAAAATTAATTCTTAATAAGTGAATATAGTTTATACAGTTAAGAGAGTATTTTCTTTAAAACATTATTCTTATTTTAATTAAGAAATCTATTTCAATTCAGTTCATTTCCTGAGTTAACTGATGAAAATGAAGAAGAGACTCTTTCTCTGATTATATAATTTAAGCTCATCTTCATGACTCTCAGAGTATAGTTCATACAGGTCTTTTCAAATTAAATAGTAGAAGATGAAATTGAGACTTCAATTTTCATTACTTTAATAAAAGATAATTTAAATACTTTCAGAATTCTTCTCAAAGCTCTGTTTTATAGACTTTGAAAGAGTTCAGTGAAGTTATCTTGATTATTTTATCAAACTTAAACTTTATAATCAGCTACTGAGATAATACAGACTATATATAATTATCTCATAGTCTGAAAGAATAGATCTCTCTCAGTATTTAATAGTCTGATTTTACTATTCAGTAGTCTCTCTATCTTGATAATTCTTTATTGAATATGATATTTAAAATATAACTTGAAGTTTAATTATACTTCTAGTTATTTAATATTCAAACTGAGTTTAATCTTTTTATTCAAAAGAGTTAGACTTAGTTCTTTCTTATTAAATCTGGAAAAAAAGTGAATTAACTCAGTTTTATTCATATTAAATTGAATTAGATTGATATCTACTCTAACAAAGATTTTCATTACTAGTTTCTCAATTATTTCTAAATTTTCTTTGATTGTCTTTGAACTGTAGAGTAGATTAATATTATCTATATAACTTAAAGATCTCACTATTTTCATCTCTCTATTCATAAATAGATATGTAGTGTATATTGTAAATAAAACAGATGAGATTGAAGATTCTTATAATACTTCTATTTTTATCTCAGTTTTATCTTGTTTTCTTTCATCAAAGAATAGTTATATAATTCTTTTAGATATAAAAAAATTAACTCATTTTATTAGAGAAAGTGACAGTTTTAACATCTTCAAAGTTTGAATCATCTTAGACTTTGAAACATGATTAAATACATCTTTTATATCAATAAAAACTGCAGTTGAGACCAGGTCTTCATACTTTACTACTTAAATATCATGAATAACTGAAAGAACAGTGTTAATTACAGAATATTATTTTCTATCTCTTATTTATTCATTAAATAGAAGAGAATCACTAATAGAGCTTATAAAAGATAATCTAGTAGTTATTATCTTTTCTAGAATTTTTTTCAAACAGTTCAACAGAGATATTACTCTATATAACTTAGAAATTAAAGTTTTTCTATTAGATTTTATAAGAATTACTTCAGTAGCTTCTCTTCAGTATTCAGAATGATACTTATTTTTTAAGAGATTGAAAAAGAGCTCAAAATATTCATTCTTTAAGTAGAAATATATATTTTAAATAATTAGATGATTAATTGAATCAGGCTCTGCAGCAGTCTTAATTAAACTTGAGAATATTATTGACTCTAGTTCATTACATGTAAGCTCAGATTATTATTATTATTATTATTCTTCAATTATAGATGTATACAGTCAGAGACTATGACATCTATCTAAGAACCTTTAGTTCTCAGAGTTTTTCCTATATCTGTAAAGTTAACTATTATACATTCATCAATTTCAGATATGTAAAATCAGAAAATTCCAGCTCAGAATACAAAAACTGTTTATAAATTACAGTGTTTTAACATCTTCTAATACTTTGAAATCATTTGACAATATCATGACAAAGGAAAGAGAACACAGTCTTAAAGATAGACACATTAAATAGATAGATAGAAAGAAATTGAAAGAAAAAGATAAAGTAAAGAGAGACTGTAATAAAACAAATTATTAAAAGATAGTATATAGCTGTTTTAACAGACTATATCTGATTGATTTCCTTCTCTTCATATTCAGATATTTCTGAATTTAGTCATTTTCTTGTAGCTGCTTGAGTTTCTGATAGAATGTCTATTAAGTATTTAATTCCTGTCTCAGTTGAGAATAAGAATCTCATATTTAATTGATTTAGATCATACTTCTCTTTCAATCTGACTCTGAGACTATTGTATAATACACAGTGCATTACAATATACTCAGAATTCTCATTTGTATTGCAGAATAAGTATTCTATTGAGTCAAATCTATCATCAAATCTTTGTATATAAGATTTGAAATAGTCATATTCTAGTTTCAGCTGTATTATAGATGAGAATATTTTCTTTTTACATTTAATTAAACAAGATTTTCACTTGAATTTTATTTCAAA